GGGGGGGGGGGGGGGGGGGGGGGGTACTCATGCAAACGCATGCCGTAGCTGTTAGACCAATGACCTCACATGCCATGCCGGGACAGAGCGACAATGCCGGGTTTTCGCCGGCTCAGGCTACGTTTCAATACATAGGATGAACCAGAATCTGGCCATCACCCTTGCACTTGCTGTGCCACTACAGAATGGGGCGAGGGGGGCTAGTGGTCTGCGGAGATAGTGTGTGAACAGACGGAGAGGAGGATGTGGCGCATACGTAGGCTCTTTCGTATTCTTTAGGTTCAAGTACAGGGTTCCCCAGGTCATTCTTCATATTGCCGTGCCGTGTGTACCCGCTACACTCCCCCGCCCCTACATGGAAGCAAGCATACGTGGCAGCTTTGCTCTAACGTGGCTACTTTGCGCTCGTCTTGCGCGGCCTCGGACAAGCAAGCAAGCAGCATCGCCTGTGCGGACCGCCTACACACGTCAAAGCACGGCTACTACGAAAAAAAGACCAGAGAGGAGGGGGGCACGCAGACCATAACCCTAGCCCCAACTTCGCCGATTCCACACTATATCCAGCACGTTTGCTCACTCACGTAGAAAAACCCGCCTAGACTACTGGCCTGTACCTGCAAGTTTTCTCTCGAGGCCGACTCCCAACTCGACCGCACGTCGCGGAATAGACGGTCGGCCTTGTCAAACCGACCCCCCTGAAGCGCGAGGGCCAGCTTCGTGAAAGGCTCGAGGCGGAGGAGGTAGTGCAGGATGTAGCCGGCGCAGCTGTAGTGGGTACCGTAGTGGAACGGGGGCGGGTTTGGGTCTTGACCGGTCTCCTCGGCAGCCTCTATCACGGCCTGTCATCAATGGGGAGGGGGGGGGGGGCATGTTTGTATGCCCTAACGGTTAGACCATTTACCACAGAAGGGTACTCGTTTTGAATGCCGTAGTTGTTAGACCATTGAGCGGCGGGAGGGGATGTTTCGGGGAGGTCGTTCATGCAGGGGTGTCACGTTGGTTTTGGTGCCGAGCGCGCATAGACAATGCTGTAGGTCATCATGGCCGATGAGCGCCCTCACCGCGACTGACTGCGCTCTCCTTCCTCGGCCGGTCGGTCGGTCGTGCTGTCTGCCAAAACCACCGTGTGCGGATAGAAACACTTTAAAAAAATGAGGTTGTACAAGGACATCCCTCAACCAAGCAGCAGTTTCTTCTCACTCTCACACCGCATCTCCTACATAGATACGAAAACAAGCCGCAAAAAAAAAAAAAAAGGCCAAGCAGACCCCACGAAACCGGTACAAGTACACAGATTTCCCTCGCTTCTCACCTCGTAGCGCTCTCTAAACTGCCGGGCGCGAGTCTCGCCGATGGCTCCCATCGGCTTGGAGAGGTCGCGGTACACCCTCGGGTTTTCTAGGTCCAGCTCCTCCGACACGTAGTCGCACAGGACCCAAGGAAACACTGGGTACTGGGTGAGGTCGTTGAACGAACGGCCCGCCAGGGTGTTGAGCGCCATGAGGTAGGCGAAGTTCGTGCACCTGGTGGGGCGGGGTGTGTTGGGGGTGGACGGGACGCAAGAGGCACAAAAAAAGGAAGGAGGTCCGTGGGTCAGGAGGGAAACGGGCTTGGCATAGGAAAATCCCAGTCAGATTTGGGAAATCCCTCCGGCTGTAGTGCACTTCGTGCCAAGCTACCACTGCCCCGCAGAAAAAACGTGGGGATCAATTACAAACGGCGTGGATTGGACAATCCCAAACGGAGGGATAGATTGGCGGGTCTGGAACGACAGCAGCAGTACTGATTCTCTTACACGTTCACGGGGCTAGGGGAAGCTACTGCTATTTACCGAGGCCGGCCGTCCACTCTGCGAACCCAGCTCCCTGTTCTACCCCATTTCCAGTACAGCGTCTGCCCAAACTTCCGTCGCAATATACACTTGCGAAATGATCTTGGGAGGGGAGAAACGTCACCAAGACGTATCAACAGCTCCGTACCTTCCCGACTGCCACTTCTTGGTCCAGCTGATACGCTCGGCCTGCATGAACTTCTTGTACGCCGCCCGGGCCTGCGCGTGCGACGAGCCCGATGCCAGCCGAAGCTTGTGCCTGATTTCCGGGAAAAGACGGTTGTTGCACACACACGCGCACGAGGTCATGGCCTTTAGAAGCATACTTGAGCTTTCAGCGGATTAGACCTCCTACGCGGCAGAAAGGTTTGTGAGCTGCGAGCGCTAATTAAAAGTGACGAAAAAGAAACAAAAACATATCGCACTGAGACTGACGTCTTAAAAAATGGTCAGTCGGTTATGTACTGTAGCACGGTCGACGCCAACAACGAAGACATATGTACATGAGGGCGCACAACGCGCGCGCACGCATGTAAGCATGCCGGATGAGAGGGCGAGCACGAGGAGAAGGAGGAGGAGGAGGCGTGTCCGATGACCGAAACTCGACAACAAAGCCGGAACACCCCCATCCCAAGCAGGAACACACGCTGCAGCCGATACAGAAGTCCCACCTCGGTCAAACACACCAACATTGAGGGCACTTCCCCCGGCTAAGGATAACGAAACACGACGCGTGTCCGAACAAAGGTTCTCGACTGTACTTCGAAACGTAAAACATCACACGACAATCTGCTGACTCGCGACTCTGGCGAAAGAGAGGCTCTCGACTGCTGTACAGTCGTGTCTCCGATATAAGAGGGGGGTCCGATATAAGAGGGGGGTCCGATATAAGAGGGTCCAAATCGGATGTCACGACGTCGACCCTCCATAGCATATTATAGTACTCTCTTATTCCGGTGTAAGAGGGGGCTCCGATATATGAGGGTGTCGAGCCGTTGTCACACCACCCTCTTATATCGGAGCCACGGCTGTACTTGATTTGTAAACACGACAATAACGACGATGACGATATGCTGACTCACTTCCCCTTCGCGAAGATGCTGGCGGGGAGCCCTCGCGCCAGCAGGAAGGTCAGCACCTCCTCCTGCTGCACCCTCGCCGCGAACGAGACCAGGATGCTCCTCCCGAGCACGTCGAAGATCTCCAGCCCACAGTCCCGCAGCTGGTACCGCCGCTTGTACACGGCGTGGACGTGGTCCAGCGCGAACCGCTGGACCCCGAAGCGGCCGATCGCCAGGATGT